AAGAAGAATTCTAGAAAGGAAATAAACTTACCATGGTTAACCAAGGAAGTTAAAAATTGTATGTTTTTTTTTCAATTTCATGCTTTGTGGCAAATTATATAGGTCGTCCAGAGAATTGGAAGAGTTTTAAAAACCAACCAAATATGACTGAGAAAAGGGAGAAATTAAACTTTGGGAGTAAAGTAGCAAATAATATAGAGATAATCAGCAAGAACTTGCTTAAATATATAAAAAGTAAGAGACAGACCAAAGTGAACAAAGGTCCTTAGCAAATGAGGCTGGAGAAATAATAATGACGAACCATGAAATGGTAGACGAGTTGGATAAACACTTCACATTCATCTTCATGGTAGACAACAAAACATTCCAAAAAATCTACAGAATCAAGGGCATAAGATAAGAAGGAAAATAATAACTATCACTAGAGAAAAAGTACTTGGGGAAACTAATGGGGCTAAAAGCTAGTAAGTCCCCTGGACCTGATGGTTAGAATCACAAGATAGTTAACAAAACAGCTACAGAGTTGTGTATGCACTGGTGGTAATCTTCTGAGAATCCTTAAATTCTGGAAAAGTCCCAGAAGCTTAAAAACTGACAATATAATAGCCTTATTCAAAATGGAAGGAGACATAAAACAGGTAGGTACAGGCCTGTTAGCTTAATATCAGTCATTGAGAAAATGGTCGTCTATCATAAAGGATTTAATAGCATTTAGCATGTTGGGGCAGATGTTGCACTGACTGAACAGTCATTATTGCAAGCCTAGTTGGAATTTGCAATGTAATCCCCGTTGTAGCATTCTCCAAAGGAATTGCCAGGGAAATTGGACCTTCCGCTAAAAATTTCTCTACACCCGTAACCCAGGAGAGTCTCTACAAAATCGGAAACTTCAGATGGTTCTGATTTAAATTAAGTAACATAGTTACTCAGGAGGAGTTAGACCTTTTAAAATGCATAGTCTAACTCCTGAATAAGTATTCAATAGTTCCCATACTTTGTCTCATTCTTAACCCACAGACCCCTCACATCCCATCCCCTGACCTGACAACCTGTCTACACGCTGGTACTTGACTCCCCACAGCTTCTGGAGCCCACAATCTACATGCCGCTGGACCAAACCCCATGCCTCCACCATGCCATCACTAATCAACCCAATACATCACTCCTCCAAACTCATCTGTTTCAAAACGGACTCAACTTGAGCTCCGTCAGATTAGACCTGACACCACCCCATTCCCCAACCCGCTCCCCCACTATTAAACATGACACCTACCCTTCCCAAGCCTGGCCAGACCTAATTTCTCTTAGCCCACCCCTAAACACTTACTTGTACCCTGGCACCCAAACCTGCTCTCATCCTACTTTTTTGTCACCCTGCCCTCTACCTATCTAGCAACTTAACCCTGGCAAGCTACCCTGATGCCAGTTAGCACCCTACCCAGTTGACATACTGCCACCCTTACCCAACTTGTACCCAATTCTCCCAGCACCCTAACATCTCACTTAACTTATGAGCTTACCCTTTGATGACAGCTGTCAAAGTGGCTATTGGGACTTTTCCACTTCAAAATTCATCAGCTGAGTACTGTGAATAGAGGATGTGGTTTTCCTTCCGCTGAAAGTTCTATACTAAGAACAGTCAAAATGGAAGTGCGCCTAACATTTCTGATGGAGGTCTGACCTTTATTCTTCCAATCTTCATTGGATATGAGAAGATGCCAGGGAATTGGAAAGTATTCAAATAGGGTGTAAGGACTAAAAATATGAACTAAAATAAAAAGAAACGGGGTAGGCCAATAGGCCCCTGATGCCTGCCATTCAACAAGGTCATGACTGATGTGTCCAGAGCCAGAGGTCACAGTCTGAGGTTTTGGGGTAGACCATTTAGGACGGAGATAAGGAGATATTTCTTCAACCGAAGAGTGGTGAGCCCGTGGAATTCATTACCACAGGAAGAGGTTGATGCCAAAACATTGAATGAATGTAGTCAAGAGGTGACTTGATTAGCATTTGGGGGAAATGGAATCAAAGGTTATGGGGAGAAGGCAGGATTAGCCTATCGAGTTGGATGATCAGCCATGATTGTGGTGAATGGTGGAGCGGACTCGATGGGCTGAATGGCCTCCTCCTGCTCCTATCTTCTATGTTTCTATGATATGTCTCAGGCCTCAACTCTTCCTCATGCCAGCTCATCATAGCACTGAGCTCCTTAATATTTCAATTATCATTTATCTGCTCCTTAAACATTCTCAGTGATCTAGCCTTCACAACTCTCTGGGGTAAGAATTCAAGACATTACCCTCTCAGAGTAGTAATTCCTTCGCCTCCATTTTAAATGAGAGTCCCCTTATTTTGTAATTTCATCCCCTAGATTGAGACTCACTCAAGAGTGAAAACTTCTTCTCAACATCTACTCAATCAAGCCCCATCAAAATCTTGTATATTTCAGTCCTTCTAAACTCTAATGAATAAAGGCCTAATCTGCTTAACTTTTGTTGATAGGTCAAACTCTTCATCCCAGAAATTAACCTAGTGAATTGCTTTTTGAACCACCATCAATGCCAGTATGTGCTTTGTTAACCAAAGAGACCAAATCTATACACTGTACTCCAGGTACAGTCTCACCAACACACTGTACACTTGTAACAAGATTTCCCTATTTTTAAATTCCAATCGCGTAGCAATAAAGGCCAAACTTCCGTTTGCCGCCTTAATTACCTGCATGCTAACTTCTTGTGTTTCATAAGCAAGAATACCCAGATCCCTCTGCGCTGCACTTCCCTATTCAAATAATCTGCTTGTTGATTCTTCCTGCTAAAGCGCATGATCACATACATCCCTTCATGCAATTCCATCTGCCTAGTTTTTGCCCACTCCCTCAACCTGTTTATGTCCCCTTTCAGATTCTTGTTTCTCAGCACAGTGTGCCGCCATCCTCATTTATTTTTAAATCCAGCAAATTTGGACATATTGCATTCTGCACCCCCTTCAAATAACTAATCAAGGTAGTAAATAATTGAGGCCCTAAGACTTGTCATATCCTTGTCATATCCTACTAATTATGTTGTTGCAAACTGAAAAAGGCCCATTAATCCCAGTTTCTGACTTCCATGTGCTTTGCACTACCATTTCTTCCTTAATAATGGACTCTAGCATTTTCCCAACAATGAGCTGTGCAGGAACAGAGGGTCCTAGGTACATGTTCATAGATCTTTGAAGGTGGCAGTGCAGATTGACAGAATGAGTAATAAAGATGACCCTGACTAGAATATTGCAGCACCATATTTTAAGAAATAAAGGTCCATCACAGTCTGCAAAGAAGATTTAACAGAATGGTTCCAAGGATTGAGAGGGTTCAGTTACAAGGTTAGTCGGAAAGACCGGAGTTATTGTCCTTGGAGTGAAGGTGGTTGAGATTTGATAGAAGTGTACAAGTTAATAACAAGCTTTGGTAAGGTACAGTAGGAAAATCCCTTCTCATTAGCTGATGATAGAAGGCTGAAGGGACACAGAATTAGGCAAGAGATGCAAGTGGGGCAAATGAGGAAGGATGTCTCTCACACACCAATTAGTAAAACTCTGGAAATCTCTGCACATGAGGTTGTTGGATGCAGAAAAAAAAATCAATGCTTTCAAAAATAAATTGGATGGACATCGAAGGAAATAAACTTCTTATGATGTGGAGATCAAGCAAGAGATTGGATTGTTCACCTTAGTCATTTACTACACAGGAGCAGACCAATTTGACTCCGCAACTGTAATATTTAATGATTTAGCCGCCTTTATTTCTGTCATTGTAGCAATGGGACTTCATACTGCATTTACTTGGAGGAAATGGCCCGGTTTATTTGGCTGGTGTATTTGCAGAGTACAGAGATTGTGTCTGGCCAAGAGAAACACCAGTCTCTTCAATACCTAAAGGATCATTTTGTTCATTTTTTTTTAACAGAGTTGCATTTGAGTTTCAGCCAAGTTGAAAATCTTTGCCCCAATCCTACTTTAAAAGTATTTCATGCCTTACTTTAACTTCAACTGATATTACGATTTTCAGAACAATGACTCATATTTAAGGAGAGGTGTTTGACATTGAGCTAGGAAGGGATATTTAGCAGTCAAGAAGCCTTTAAAAGTAGCTTTCCCTCAGGTCTGGCTGAACTTAATGGTTGGGGGAAAGGAACAACATCAGTGAGAAGCTCACACACATTAGCAAGGGAGAGAAGATTGTGGGGCTGGGGAGGCAGGGATCACTTTGGATTGTTGACAGCGAGGGAGGGACTCAGTTACTGATGAGGTTAATGGGGCATTTGGGGCTTGAAGATCGTATGCGGTGCTGGGCCCACCTGACTGTTCCATCAGTTGCCAGGTTTTAACCCAGCTAGCGAGTCCTTAATGAGGCACCGAGGCACGTTACAATATTTAAACGAGAAGCCCTCACTAGCTCCGAAAAGTAGAAATGGGTAGGTGCGATGTTATGTTTTGGTTTGCAATGCTTCAATTTTTACCTGCCCAACGCTTTGTGTGGCTGTTGTTAAATTTACCTCCATAGAGGACCGAAGGAATCAGTGGATTAGCAGAAGCCATCATTTGATGTTTAATAGGGGACCTGTGTTCCCACCTGTCAGCATTGCAGTCAGGAGTACTACACCAGATTATTATTTTTCCTTGAAGGCTGCTACTGCTTCTGCTCGCATCTCTATTGTGCGATCATGTCTGTTTTACAATCTATAGCCTTTAAACATCAAACTTTCCAATTCGGAGAAGATCATACAGTGTAACAGGTTAGCTAGGATTTTCTGTTCAATCCCTGGGCTTTTTACAAATCATCTAAATACTAGGCAGATGTAGCTACAATTCTGACTAAAGGCAAATGACTTGAGATGGAATCAAAGCAGAATATCAAGATTAAATTTGCAAATGTATAACCATACAAATGAGAAAAGCATACCAGTGACTTAACCCACTATTACTACTGCAAACAAAATACTTTTTGTATTTGAAAGGACCAAACAGTTGATTGTGGATGTGATCAGAACTCAGCCAGGCGAAACGTTGACTGAAATCCTGGAAACACCAGCGTCCTCACAGCAGGTAATTTTAATTGTATTCTCAAACATTTTTATTTATTTCATTGTTTCACGGAACTGAATGTCTCTGCCAGTTCCACTGATAATTCTGGCCCAGGAGATGATATTGTCGTATAGAGGAAACCAAAACTTCCCTACCCTCAAACCAGTGAGTCATGTTAGTTTGGAACAGGAAACATGTTACAGCAGATTCTGGGAACAGCTACCTTCCATTACAGAGTCAAGGAGATGGATCACTCATGTACACAACAAACAGCATGGGACTAGGGACTGAGCACCACTGGACACAGGCTTCCAGTCACAAAAACAACCTTCAACCGTTACCCTCTGCATCCTGCCAATGAACTAATTTTGGATCCGATTTTGCTAAATTGCCTTGGATTCCATTGACTCTTAGCTTCATAACTAGTCTGTCATTCAATTCTTTGTTAAAAGCCTTACTTTGGTCCATATAGACTGCATCAACTGCATTATCCTCATCCTACGTACCTCATCACCATCTCACAAAATTCAATCAAATTTGTTACACACGATGTACCCCTTAAAAAGCCATGCCAATTGTTCCTAATTAATCCATGCCTCTCCAACTGGATATTCATTCTGTTCCTCCGAATATTCTTCAATAGTTTCCCTACCTCTTAGAGTTATTGGCCTGTAGTTTCCTGGTTTATCCCTGCCACTCTTCTCACATAATGATACGACATTAGCGATCCTCCAGTTCTCTGGCATCCCTCCTGTGGCCAGAGAGGATTTGAATATTGATGTCAGAGCCACTGAAGTTTCCTTCCACAGCAACTTTAGATACATCTCATCTGGGCCTGAGGATTTATTCATTTTCAATCCTGCTAAAACCGCTAATACCTCATCCCTCTTAATACTAACTTATTCATGCATACCACAGCACCCCTCCCTGATATCTATACCCACCGTGTCCTTCACTATTGTGAATACAAAGTACTCATTGAAAACCTCAGCTAAGTCTTCTGGCTGTATACACACACACGCTGCCACTTTGGTCCCTAGTTATTTTCTTGTCCCTAATATACTTAAAACACCTTTGGGATTTTCTTTAACATTAATTTAGCAATGGAAAGGGATCGGTATATACCGCAGGGCAAGAGTTATAGCTGGGGGAAAGGCAATTATGAAGCGATGAGGCAAGATTTAGGATGCATAGAATGGAGAAGGAAACTGCAGGGGCTGGGCACAATTGAAATGTGGAGCTTGTTCAAGGAACAGCTACTGCGTGTCCTTGACAAGTATGTACCTGTCAGGCACGGAGGAAGTGGTTGAGCGAGGGAACCGTGGTTTACTAAAGAAGTTGAATCTCTTGTCAAGAGGAAGAAGGAGGCTTATGTAGAGATGAGGCATGAAGGCTCAGTTAGGTCACTTGAGAGTTACAAGTTAGCCAGGAAGGACCTAAAGAGAGAGCTAAGAAGAGCCAGGAGGGGACATGAGAAGTCTTTAGCAGGTAGGATCAAGGAAAACCCTAAAGCTTTCTATAGGTATGTCAGGAATAAAAGAATGACTAGAGTAAGATTGGGGCCGGTCAAGGACAGTAGTGGGAAGTTGTGCGTGGAGTCCGAAGAGATAGAAGAGGTGCTAAATGAATATTTTTCGTCAGTATTCACACAGGAAAAAGACAATGTTGTCAAGGAGAATACTGAGATACAGTCTATTAGACTAGACGGGATTGAGGTTCATGAGGAGGAGGTGTTAGCAATTCTGGAAGGTGTGAAAATAGATAAGTCCCCTGGGCCGGATGGGATTTATCCTAGGATTCTCTGGGAAACTAGAGAGGAGATTGCAGAGCCTTTGGCTTTGATCTTTATGTCGTCATTGTCTTCAGGAATAGTGCCAGAAGACTGGAGACCAGCAAATGTTGTCCCCTTGTTCAAGAAGGGGAGTAGAGACAACCCTGGTAATTATAGACCAGTGAGCCTTACTTCAGTTGTGGGTAAAGTGTTGGAAAGGATTATAAGAGATAGGATTTATAATCATCTAGAAAGGAATAATTTGATTAGGGATAGTCAACACGGTTTTGTGAAGGGTAGGTCGTGCCTCACAAACCTTATTGAGTTCTTCGAGAAGGTGACCAAACAGGTGGATGAGGGTAAAGCGGTTGATGTGGTGTATATGGATTTCAGTAAAGCGTTTGATAAGGTTCCCCATGGTAGGCTATTGCAGAAAATACGGAGGCCTGGAATTGAGGGTGATTTAGCGGTTTGGATCAGAAATTGGCTAGCTGTAAGAAGACAGAGGGTGGTGGTTGATGGGAAATGTTCATCCTGGAGTTCAGTTACTAGTGGTGTATCTCAAGGATCTGTTTTGGGGCCACTGCTGTTTGTCATTTTTATAAATGACCTGGATGAGGGCGTAGAAGGATGGGTTAGTAAATTTGCGGATGACACCAAAGTTGGTGGAGTTGTGGATAGTGTGGAAGGATGTTGCAGGTTACAGAGGGACATAGATAAGCTGCAGAGCTGGGCTGAGAGGTGGCAAATGGAGTTTAATGCGGAAAAGTGTGAGGTGATTCACTTTGAAAGGAGTAACAGGAATACAGAGTACTGGGCTAATGGTAAGATTCTTGGTAGTGTGGATGAGCAGAAAGATCTCTGTGTCCATGTGCATAGATCACTGAAAGTTGCCACCCAGGTTGATAGCGTTGTTAAGAAGGCGTACAGTATGTTAGGTTTTATTGGTAGAGGGATTGAGTTTCGGAGCCATGAGGTC